TAGAGGGAATTCTGGTGGAATTATGTTGATATGGAAGAAGAATGTTGCTTCTTTTTCTTTGATCAAGACTTCGGAACAATGTATGTTTGAGGAGTTGGAAATTTTCAATAAAAACAAATGGAGGATTGCTACCATCTATGGTAGCAGAGAGTTCCAAGGTAGAAGAGAGTTATGGAAATTTCTTGATGGTATAGTTGATCAAGACATTCCAAGAGTACTTGGAGGTGACTTCAACTTCGTATTGTCACAAGAGGAGAAAAAAGGGGGGAAGAAGTTTACTTTCACTCATGGGCCTTTGGAAATGAAAGCATTCATGAACAACAATGACTTACATGATGTAGGTATTATTGGTGCTAAATACACATGGTGTAATAATAAGAGTGGAAGTGCTCGGATATTAGAAAGGCTTGATAGAAGCTTGCTGAATTCTAAAGCTCTAGAGATGATCAATCTAGGTGCTGTAAGACATTTGAATAGAATAGCATCGGACCATTGTCCCATTGTCTTGAAATTATTTCAACATCAAATTCAAAAATCCAGAATTCAAAATTTTGAAGATGTTTGGATATCATATACAGCAGCAACTTCTGTGATCAGGAACTCTTGGTCCAAATCTGTAAGAGGTGATGATATGGAAGCTTTAAATAAGAAAATGTCTAGAGTTCTTAAAGCCTTATTTTTTTTGGAGTAAGGCTAAGCATCAAAAGATGGAAATTTTGAAGGAAAAGCTGAAGGAAGAAATTGAAAATCTGCAGCATGAAGTGGCTTCAAACTCACAATTCTCGGACAGCAGCGTATTTATCCTGAGAGCAAAAATTAAGGAATTCAACTATACTCTTGCAAGGTTGAATACATGGTGGAAACAAAGAGCCAAGGCCAAATGGATGAAGGAAGGCGATGTGAACACTTCCTTCTTTCATGCTTTTGTGAATTGGAGAAGAAATGGGAATTCTATCAAGCAAATAAGAGATGAAGAGGGAGTATTAACCGAAGATGAGGATTGTATAAGGAGGAACTTCTTTCAGTTTTTTTTCCAAGAAATGGGAGTATAGAGATTGCACTCTTGACAATTGGCCCACAAATGAAAACATCTTGAAAGAAGAAGATTATGGTATCCTGGATGTTGAATTCAAGCTTGAAGAAGTTGAGAAAGTTATCTTTGAACTTGGAAACAACATTTCATCGGGATTGGATGGAATTACATATTCCTTTCTTAAAGCTTATTGGAAGATCATTGGGATGGATGTGTGGAAAGCTATACAACTTTTCTTCAGTTAAGGGAAGATGTCTTCAAGGTGGAAGGAGACTTTAGTGATTCTTATTCCCAAAGTAAGTAATCCTACTTCTCCAAATAATTTCAGACCTATAAGCCTATGTATGTCAATATACAAAATAGTTGCAAAAGCTCTATTAAACAGAATGAAGAAAGTAATCCATGGCTTAGTGACTGAAGAGTAAGTGGCTTTCATTGAAGGGAGAGCATTATCAGAATATATGCTTATTGCCCAAGAACGTAACTCTTTCACAAATTCAGAATCTCAAAATCTAGAAAAGGCTTGGTGGCTATTAAACTGGATATGGAACAGGCATATGACAATATGGCTTGGAAAACTTTACAACAAGTTTTGATTTATTTTGGCTTTCCTAGAAGATTTTCGAATCTCATAATGGAATGTGTCTCTGACCCGGTTTTCTTTGTTCAAATCAATGGTGTGGATCTAGAAGGTATTAAAGGGAGAAGTGGCTTTAGACAGGGGTGCCCTCTCTCTCCTCTCTTATTCATTCTTTGCTCCCAACTTCTTACTAATGTTTTTTTATCTAAAGGAAATGGTATAGGGTTGAAAATTGCACCTTTGGCTCCAAGGATATCTCATCTTTTATTTACAGATGACATCTTGATCTTCTCCAATGCAAATATTGAGAAGATTAATTTAATTATGGATATCACTAATGATTATTGCAATTTGACGGTTCAAAAGATAAACGTCCCTAAGTCTTCTATTGTTTTCAGCAAAAACATGGATAGAAGGAGGAGGAAAATTATCTCAAAGCTTTTGGGTTTCAAGGAAACCAAGGAATTAATTTACTTGGACAACAAAATTACCTTAAGAAGGCGTGTGGCTGCAGATTTTTCTAGCATATTGGAGAAAACAGCCTTGAAACTGGACGTTTGGGGCAAGAAGTTCATTTCTACAGCTGGTAGAGTAACACTTATTAATGATGTTCTTCAAACAATCCATGTTTTCTATACTTCCATGTCTCTAGTTCCTATTTCTATATTAAAGAAGATTGATAGAATGAGTAGAGAATTTTTGTGGAACAAAAGCAATGGGGTTAATGGTTTACATTTTGTAGCTTGGAAGGAGTTGTGTAAACCAAAAGACCAAGGAGGACATGGCATCCAATCTGCAGTACAGTCGGTGGAACCCCTTAGAGCAAAATTGGCTTGGAATTTTTTGAAGAAACCTGATTCTTTATTCAGCAAAACCATTTCAGCAAAATATGGTTTGAATATTTGGGAAGAAAATTACAGAAATAACTCTTCTACTGCTTGGAAGATCATAGTTAGCGGAGCAAAGACTTTAAAACAAGTCGTGAAGTGGAGAATCAAGGATGGTGCTTCTATCAACATCATGAAGGACATTTGGATCATGGATAGAAGATTGGAAAAATGACCCACATTTATTTCTAATGATACTGTGGATTTTGATAATCTGTCATTATTCATTTCAAATGGATTTTGGAATACTGAAAAACTTCAACTTTACTTTGGGAAAGAAATGACTAATGTTATCAGAAACATCAATATTGATTCCAACAGTGATGAAGACAATATATAATTGTTGAAAAATTTTTCTGGGAGAACTATTGCTGGATTGATTAAACAATCCAGGAATAATATAAAAGAGATGGAAAACAGTGGAAATCTGGACTGGAAGCATATTTGGAGGATGAAACTTAATCCTCGTATCTCATTATTTTGGTGGAGATTATTGAAAAAGGCTATCCCAACAATGGAGTATCTATTTCATAGAAGATTATCTAATTTCAACCTCTGCCCAAGAGGTGGTAACATGATTGAAAGTAGAGATCATGTGACAGTGGATTGTTTGAAATTAAAACAGGTTATTCATAAAGCCAAGAAATGGGGTTTTAATATAATTGTTTTAAGAAATTTTGAAGAATGCATTCAATTCTTGAAGGATCAAGGAAAGGAGAATCAGTTTATTGTAAGTTTATATTGTGCTTTGGTATTTTATTCCTGGAAGAGTAGGAATTCTTTAATTTTTGAAGGTCAAGAGATTGAATCCGATATCATTATCTCCAATGCTATCAAGTTTGCTACATGTTCTACTTCTACATTTCATTCAGACAACTGGGTTGCCAACCAGCAGAATAAGCTATTTTCTTCCACTTGGCATCCCCCACCACCCGGATGGATTAAAGTAAACAATGATGCTTCACTTCTTACCTCTAATCAAGCTGGAATTGGAGGTATTTTTAGAGACCATAAAGGCAGGATGTTGCTAGCTTTTGGATTCTCACTAACGCATTGGGATGTTGGTTTTTTGGAGATGCTCGTTGTTCGTGCTTAAGATGGTGATTCAAGACTGGATGTATAATGCTAAAGGAATAATTGTGGAAGGAGACAACTCTAATGTTATCACTTACTTACAAAATTCAGTGGACAATCTGGGCCGAGAGAAGGATAATGGTGTTATAAAAGACTTGGACTTTCTTAAGGAGTTTGAGGTAATCATTTTCCATTATGTTAATAGGGGGTTGTAATAAGTTAGCTCATTGGTGTGCTAACTATGCTTTGGAGGGTGATTTCTTTTGGGATATACTTGAGGTAAATAAGGTTCCTTCTACCTTTTTTTTCTTTGTTAAAGGAGGAAAGTGATAGATCTTCTATCACTTAGTTGTTTGTACCTTTTTTAGTTTTTATTAATGCATTTGGCAGTTTATCAAAAAAAAAAAGAGTATATGATGAAAAGCTAAAAATATTGAATAAAATAATTAATATTTTTTAAATAAGATAATTACTAATTAAATAGTTGTTATTTTTATTTCTCAATATAAATTATTAATAAAATTATTAATTTATTAAATATATAACAATATTAATTTTAAATAAATATAATATAAATTAAATAAATAATTAAAATTTTTTATATATTATTATATTTAACTAAAACTTATAAAATTTTATATAAATTTAATTTGAATCATTAAATAAATGTATTTTAATAATAAATTTTGAATATTATATTTTTTAAACTATATAAATATTAAAAATAGTTAAAAACTTAAAATATTAATTTAAATATTTGATTATCCTCACTCCCATGGGCGGATGTCCATAGTAGTGAGGGGGGGCAAATGCCCACCCTCAATTTTTTTTTTTTTAAATTTTAGAGGGCATATTTTGGAATATTTTGGGTATTTTGTCCTCTTTCAAAAAAAAAATTTGCCCTAATTTTATCCATCCTAATCATCTTTGCCCATCCTCCACCAAAAAATTTTTTTTGCCCACCCTAAAAGAAGAAGCTGGATCCACCCCTACTCACTCCCCTCTCTCCCTCTCTCTCTCTATCCGCAAGCCATCTCTCTCTCTCTCTCTCTCTCTCTCCAAGTGACTAAGCCAAATGAAATGGCATTTTTTTATTCACCAAATTGGTTGGAGCATTTGCTCCTATTTAAATTTTTAACAATCCATGCTGCTTTTATTACTTTTGATTATTATCATGCTTTTTTATAAAATTTAGCCTTGATTTTATCTCTCACTTTCTATAATTAATCCATAATGTACACGTTGAATTAATTTATAAATAAATTGTTTCTTTCACTTCTACCCAACGTTGCTTATGAATGCAAATCATAGAAATAAAGAATGTTACATGGCATCTTATTACATAAGCTTATGAATTCTTCATTCAATCTTTAGCTCTGTTAAAATAATTAGACTACATTTTAGAATTAATCTTATTCCGAAACCATGAACGAAGCTCACAGAGAGACAATTAGGCTATATATTTACTCGTTGTTTACCTTACAAGAACTCATAATTCATTAATACAAATATATATTTCATATATTATTCAAACTACATCAAACACCACAATAATGATTATTAATTTGCTAATAGCATTAGTCTCTTCCTCTTTGAGCTTTATTAAAACAAATAAGCAAACACAAGTAGGAACAACTTCTGCAACTGTAATGCTCATTCAGTGCTCTTTTCTCACACCCTGCAAAAATGAAACAATATATTCTTTAAAGAGAGAGAGAGAGAGAGAGAGAGAGAGAGAGAGAGAGAGAGAGAGAGAGAGAGAGAGAGAGAGAGGGAGAGAAAGAGAGAGAGTATGTGAACGTGATACGAACTGGCTGCAATTAGCGTTGGTGCTAATAGGTATCGTAAGCTGAAGCTTGCAATAAACAGGCAAACGCCGAGCAAACGCAGGCTTCACGCCAAACGACGGACCCAACTGCTCCAAACACTTGCAAAGCGTTTGTCTATCCGCTTTCCTCGCGGCAGCTTTATTAAGCTCCTGCGCGCTCTGGCAACATTCCTTAGTTGGAAAATTCCCGGCAGACCCAATCAAAAAAGACCCGCAAGGTATTAGCGCCGAGACCGCGTCCGAACACGATAATCTCGGTGCGGCAGCGGCAGCGGCCGCGGCCGTTGCCAAAGCCAGCAATGTGATTAGCGCAATAGAAGCGTTGGCGGCCATTTGTTCAGTAATTGGTGTTTGGAAGGATGTTATGGGTGTTTGGTCTATTTGTAAATGGGTTGGGTCAATGTGTTTGGTTTGGATCTTCAATGCTTTGTCATGTGATATAGGATATGGTAGGGAATGACAAGACATTATCAATTAAGAGATTTGCATGGAGCTGCTGAGAAGGATCAGCTAGTTATTTTCTGATTTATTTTTAATTATTTTTAAACAAGAGATGGTATTTCGACGTAATTTTTTTTGTAGATGAACTTCAAATTTTGATGTTCCTTATGAAATGTTTAAAGGTGTACTGAAAATACATGATATGTGACATAAAATAAAATATATACTTCAAAAGAAACATGTTTATTATAAATTTTCATGATTTTATATCATTTAAATATAATAAAAACAAAAATCATACATCAATTTTCTAACTTTATCATTATGAATATTAAGCAGGGATAGCATGACACAAAAAGTTTTCTAAGAAAAATATAGCAATATTATTTTCTGTTAATGGAAATATTCAAATTTTGGCATTAAAAATAATAGTTTTTAAGAATAATTTTAATCTTAATAAAAAACAAAATACATTTTTTTAGTTAATGCATGGTATTTTTTTATATATTTTTTATTGTTATGAATTTTTCTTTTTTTCAAGCTAATTAATGGATGAGGTGTGGGTGCATTTGCCACTGATGTAAAGAATCATTTGCTTAATTAGATCCCCACGTAAGAAAATTAACAATAAATGTGATGTGGATCTTAGAACGGTGTGGTAACACCTAATACAATGGATTAGTTGGAGAGTTTATTAGCCTTCAAACGTTATTAATGAAATAAACAACTGCATGATTATGACTCCTTAGTCGGTTGTATTTGCAAGAGTGAGGAAACATTTTATCACCGACAGTTCAATACTTAAGGTTTTGTTTGAGATTATTTTCTTAATGCTTTCTTAAGTATTTTTTTAATATAATTTTTTATTTTTGAACTAGAAGTTTTTATATTAAAGAGCTATTTTAAAAAGCAATAAAAAAGTCGTCCTAAATGAAGCCTAAGATATAGGATGTAAGAGGATTACTTTATTCAATTTTTTTTAATTTTAACTTATGATTTTTAAAATTTCACCCTCCTTTTTTATATTTAAGCCTCTTTATTTTGACACTTATTAATGTGATGAGCAGTATTTTTGACTTTAAGTGGTTCATATTAATTATCTAATAATTTATTAAGTTGTTATGCAGGATAATATATAATAATATGTATGATATTATCTAATTATAATATATACAAGTAGGAAACTTTCATAAATTCTAACATGTAATTATTTATGTTAATTTGTATTTTTACAGTTTCCTGAAAGAAATGTTGTAATTTAGGAGAATTTGAGGACATTTATAGAAGATTTTGAGTTTTTATTGCATAATGATTTTTTTTTCCTATATAATAATAAATTACTTTTCTTGAGAGGAGCCATAAGCCATTAATTGTACAGTACTTAATATTTATGTCTAGAAAAGATAAATTTACCATTTACTTTCAATCTAATGCGTACAGTATATGGCATAAGGTTTTGAATGGTTACTCAGAGTCCAAGAAAGTCATAATAAAATTGACTCAATTGAAGATCAATTTAAAGCAACCACTACCTAATTTTAATAAATGTCTTTATTGTGTTTTGAATTTTGACTATTATTTTCTAATTTCACCATTAACATTATTAGTCTCTTGAAGGAGTCTTTTGACTTTGTTTGAGACAACTTTCTTATTGCTTCATAAAATATTTTTTTGGGATTTTTACATACATAACACTTAAAACTAGTATAAATACATATTCAACACTTAAATTTTTATATTTACAGATATACCACCTAAAATCGTCTATTCATCTATTCTAACGGTTTGTTTAAGCCACCGTCAAAAATCATATCAGAGACTGTCGTCCCCGTCTGAACTCCCTGCCACTCGACGAGCTTCTTCGTTCAGTGCAAGCTCCACGTCGACGCTCACAAGAACGAGTGCAACATGTATTACCTTGACTTTGAATGGCGCTCTCTGCTCTCGCTCGTCTTGCTTTCCCTATGGAATAAAAAGATCAATTTTGGGTATGGCGGCGAGGTCGGCGGTGGTAAAATTGGTCGCAGCAAATGATACTAGAATGAAGCTGTAGATTACGAGATCGGCGTCAACTACAGTATATAATTTTACCAAAAAAAAAAACACTAGAATGAAGCTCTTGATGTTCTTTCTTGTTAACCAGATCTCCATATCTTCATACTCGGTAGCATCAAGCAATATATCAAGCAAATCCTTGTTGCCGTCTTGACCCACACAGCTTTTCCTCATGGCCACTTTTTCGGAAATGGTTCTCTCCATCAACTCAAAAAAATCATCTGGCACTTGCATAATCCACTTTTTGAAGCCCTGGAAATCGAAACAGCAAAAAAATGCAATGAAATCTGCCAAGTAGAGGGATCTGATAAGCTCTGCCACCCCTTTCACTGCTTTCCTTGCCGCCTCGCTATCTCCTGTGGATGTCGTTCCGGCCGTCATTCCGGCGATGATGCTCGTCGTCATCCTTATGAGCTATTTACTCAGATCAACAGATTTGGCGGGCAGCGGTGGTGAGGGGACGATCGCAGTGAGAGGTTAAGAAACACAGAACGTTTTGACGGACTTAAACGGAGTGTTAGAATAGATGAAAAGAGAAGTTTTATGTGGTATATCAGTAAATATAAAAGTTTAAGTGTTGAATATGTATTTACACTAATTTCAAGTGTTATGTATGTAAAAATCCCTATTTTTTATATAAAAATTAATTTTTTTTAAAAGATATTATTTTAAAAATAATAATAAAGTCATCCCAAATAAAATTTTAGTAATATAAAAGGTCATTGAACTTAAATAATCATTGATTTCAAAAGGTCACACTATAAATCGATGTAGATAATTTTATGCTTCATCTATCTCAAAGTAATATGGCAGTCATCCATAGGGATTGGATTAGCACGATGATTATTTGGCCAATTTAAAGAAGCGGTTGGAGAGTATAAATATCGAATTTTGGTTTTACTTGAGATGACAAAGGTACTAACATCAAGATAGATTTTTTTTTGGGCAGGTTTGGGAATCAAACGAGAGCCGCGGGAGGCAACCACACTGCACTTAACCACGGAGCTGCACCGTGCGTCTCTCGAGATAGATCTCATATGAGGGTGGCTAAATTCCACGGGAAGTACGCTATGATTGATGTTACCTTTCAAAGAGATGGAGAAACTATAAGCAAAATAAAGAAAAAAAGGACAAATTTTTAGGGTAGCTTCGTCAAAGAGATCTGCGTCCAATATGGCTTTGTTACTACTAAGTTGTATTCGTATATCGAGAGTTTTACAAATAATCTTTGTATTATAAGAGCTTAGGGGCCAAATAAGCTTAAATTTAAGAGACATGAGAGCAAGAGAGGAGTACTATAAGTGTTGTATATATAAATTACTTAGTATATGATAATATATGATGTGGCATACTACCATTGATTCATTTGTATATAGATGTATTAGTTTTCCTTTATATATAACTTGGATGTAATATAAACTGAGTAAATCAATATCTTCTTTGATCACTTATTCCTTTCGTTTCTTGTTCTCTTCTACTTATTCATGGTATCAAAGCGGGCCGGTCATGGCGAGCTTGGCAACATCGCAACGTAGCGAGCAAGCATACACGACGAATCATGAGGATCCTCTGATCTCGTCGATGTTGAAGTTGTAGTGTTGAACATCAAGAACATAGTCCCGATTCAACTGGCGTTGGACAACTATTATGTCTGGAAATCTTAGATCCTCAAAAATTTTTAAGCTCATGGATTCCATAAGTTTCTTGATCCTTCATCTTCTTCCCATGATCACACTCTTTCTCAAGCCAATAGTTCTTCTATACCTAATCCCTCATTCGCTCAGTGGCTTTTAATCGATAAAATCTTAGTTATTGCATCGTGTTACACTATATCTGTTTCAATCTTGCCCGATATTGTTAATCTTGAATCTGCTGCAGTCATTTGGACAACTCTTGAAACTAGGTTTCAATCTACCAATAGATCCAAGGTTATACAACTCAAGAACACCCTTCACAATATCTCTCTCAAGAACATAACCATGACTCAATATCTATCTAAAATCAAGTTCTTGGTTGATCAATCGTCACTGCAGGTTCGGTTGTCGACACCAAAAACAAAATCCTCTATATTCTTAATAGCCTTACAAGCTCCTACCAATCATTCAAAATTGCTATTAGAATGATGCTTACCGCGATTAGTCTTGATCAACTCTATCCCCTTCTTCTCAGTGAAGAAATTAACTTAGCATCAGATGCTGTTTGCATTTATGCGTCTACCAACCCATCATTTGCATTGTACTCATCACGTGGAAGAAGCTATTGCACTAGAGGAAGAAACACATCTACCCCTCAAAATCCAACTCGGCCTTCTACTGCCCTGCAGGTTTTATGTCAGACTATCCTTAAGAAAGGGCATTCGACACCTTCTTGCTGGCATCGTCTCAACCCCCAGTATGTTCCTCCATCCACAATCAATTATAAAATGGCTCTTGTTGCAAGCTCGGACAACTCATACAATAATTGGTTTCTTGATTCGGGAGTGATGCCGCATCTTACAAATTCTCTTGACAACATGTCTATTTCCAATCCTTACTAAGGAAACGACAATATTACTGTGGTGATGGACGGTCGGTAAATATTGCTCACACTGGGCTGGCTTATTGCCAACCCCAACCCGTAAGCTTCTATTATCGAACGTTCTTCATATACCTTCATTACATTACAATTTACCATTTATTTATAAATTAACTAAAGACAATAATATTTCTATTATTTTTAATCCATCGAGATTTATGTTTAAGGATTTGAAGATGAAGCAAGTTCTTCTTCAAGGATCATGTAACAATGGACTCTACCTTGTTCCAACTAGTTCTTCTATGTCTCAACAGCATACCCTATCTGCTACCTAGCCTCTACCAGCTTCCGTCAATGGCCTTCAAGACTCGATCATCCTCATGAAAGAATTCTTCACACTATCTC